CGACTAGGGAATGGAGGCCCTATGTCTAAAAAGCTCAACTCAGGGATTAGAGCCCTAATGTTGACAAAAGGCAACTAGGGAATGGAGGCCCTATATCTAAAAAGCTCAACTCAGGGATTGGAGCCCTAATGTTGGAAAAAGGCGACTAGGGAATGGAGGCCCTATGTCTAAAAAGCTCAACTCAGGGATTGGAGCCCTAATGTTGGCAAAAGGCGAGTAGGGAATGGAGGCCCTATGTCTAAAAAGCTCAACTCAGGGATTGGAGCCCTAATGTTGGCAAAAGGCATAAAAGATTGAGGTTGGGAGTCCCAAGCTAACACATTTTTTCCTTACTTCTCTTCCTTCTTTTTTTTCAATTTTCATTTTTCAATAAAATGCGGGAAAGAAACTTGGAGTGAACTTCCCTTATTTGGAGCCCACTGTTTCTAGCTCTTGCGCATCTTTTCTCTTTCAGTTGCACCTGCTTCTCGCACGGTTGCTTTGGGTTGCACCTGTTTCAACTTTTCAAACAAAGAACAATTGTTAGTTTGAAACGGTGGTTGGTTTTGTGGCCTTCATCATTTTTGATTACTTGATCTTGGCTCAACTCTTTTGGTTGGAACCTCTACTGCTTGCTGGCTTTTCTGAAAGTTGATCTCTATCCTAAAACCGAGGAGCTCAACTTTTCAAAATTTCTCATGACGGCTTAATTGCATAGGCTTTGGCCCTTTCACTTTATTATGCCTTTAGGGCTTGGATTTCTGTTCAATTTCAATAAACTCCAATTTCAGAGCATCAGTCATCACGGCCAGTCGGGATCGACTTGATGCACCCGCTGAGGCTGGGTACTTTTATTTGGACTTGGCTTTTATTAAGCAGAACCCTGTAAAACTAATGTTGCCACCTTTTCTTTGCATTAGCTTCGGAACAAAGTTAGACCGAAAGGGATTCAAGGAAAAGTAAACAAAGGACAAGAAAATGAATTTAAAGGAGAAGTGTCCCTTTCGGGGAGGAAGGACGAACTTATCTGGGGTGCATGCAGACTTCAAATAGACAAGACATGCTTCTTGGACTAGACAACCGGTCCGCACAAATATCCCAACTTCTCATAAACCCATTGTGACCGTGTTTCAAAACCGAGAAAGCTTGCCAGGACTCTTTCAATACCAATGGTGGTGACGGGTTTCTTCTCTTCGATCAACGACGCCCTTTGTGGGTTTTCGCCAATTGACCTTTCTCATTTCTCTTCTCACCATCGCCTTATAGTGCTCTTTACGAGTTTTCACTAACAAGACTCTCTCATTTTTAATTTCTCTACTTACCATCGCCTTACGGTGCCCGTAGGTTTTCACCAATAAGACTCTCTCATTTTAATTCTCATCATGACAGCATCGGATCCAAACAACTGCGTTCTCTGATTTTGAAAACCTTTCACCGATTGATCGGGAGGACTTGAAAAAGGTTCAGGTAAAAAGAATCTGGATGAAATTACAACTTTGGAACCGTTCAGATGGGCTCATTGCCGAACCATTATAACATCTGCCCCAGTTTCACTTTTAGGGGAAATTGGATTTTTGTTTTGGTGTGACTGAACCCTAGAGAGAGGCTGCCTACGTATCCTTTCAGAATCAAGTCGAACGTAGTTCAGGGAAACATTTTTTTTTGTATTTATTTATTTATTTATTTCAAACGTCTTTGTGTTCCAAAGAGGGTAATGAAAGAAGGTAACCAACTCAATGGGTTAACAAAGGATTGGAATGTTTGGGGTAGCGAGAATGAAAGCCTTCATCATCCCAATCGGGCAATGTTGTCACTACAGAAGATTAGACATAGTACCTTTTGACCGCGTCTGCGTTCACAGCTGCCTCGGGGTCGTTTCCTTCGATATCTCCCAGATATAATGCTCCTCTTGGTCATATCTTTCAGATAATGTATGAGCCTTTCCAGTTAGGAACAAATTTGCCTTTTGCTTCCTGATGATGGGGAAGAACATGCCTCAAAACGAGTTGCCTCACTTCAAAATTTCTAGGCCACACTTTCTTGTTATAGGCACGGGCCATTCTTTGTTGATACAACTGCCCGTGGCAAACTGCGGCCATCCGCTTTTTGTCCATCAGGGTCAACTATTCCAAGCGGGTTTTGACCCACTCACTGTCTTCAATTTCAGCTTCAACAATGATCCGGAGAGAAGAGATCTTGACTTCCGCGGGTATTACGGCTTCAGTTCCATAAACCAAAAGATACGGGGTTGCTCCGATTGATGTGCGCACAGTAGTGCGATATCCCAACAATGCAAAGGGTAACTTTTTATGCCACTGCATGGAACTTTGGATCATCTTTCTCAAAATCTTTTTGATGTTTTTATTTGCTGCTTCGACGGCACCATTGGCTTAAGGGCGATAGGGAGTAGAATTCCGATGCGTTATCTTGAATTGTTCGCATATCTCTCCCATCAAATGACTATTCAAGTTTGCAGCATTATCCGTGATAATAGTTGCAGGGATACCGAAATGGCAGATAAGATTGGAGTGCATAAAATCTACCACAGCTTTCTTGGTGATGGATTTGAGAGTGATTGTTTCAACCCATTTAGTATAATAGTCGATGGCGACTAGTATGAATCTGTGCCCATTTGAGGCTTTTGGCTCGATTGGCCCAATAATGTCTATGCCCCATGCAACAAATGGCCAAGGCGCTGACATGGGATGCAGTTTTGTGGGAGGTGCATGAATCAAATCACCGTGCACTTGACACTGGCGATACTTCCGAACAAACCTGAAGCAATCTCTTCCATGGTCATCCAGTAGTAGCCTGCTCGGAGGATTTTCTTTGCCAAAACATACTCGTTCATATGGGGTCCACACACTCCTGCATGCACATCATACATGATTCTTCCAGCCTCTTAGGTATCAACACATCTTAACAAGTTAAGATCCGGAGTCCTTTTGTACAAGACATCACCGCTCAAGAAGAAACCACTTGCGTGCCGTCTAATGGTTCTCTTTTGGCCTCCATTGGCTTGCTCAGGGTATTCTTTGGTTTTCAAAAATCTTTTAAAGTCATGATACCATGGCTGAACATTTGGTTCTACCTCGACCGCATTACAATAGTCATGCCTTTCCTTGATTTGGATTTCCAAGGGATCAATGTAGGCATTGCTTGGGTATGGCAGCATCGAGGCCAAAGTGGCAAGCGCATCAGCTAATTCATTGTGGCAACGAGGGATGTATCTGAACTCTATCGACGTGGAACGCTTGCCAAGTTCTTCCACATGTTGCTTATAATGAATAAGCTTGACATCTCGGGTTTCCCATTCTCCTTGAGCTTGTAGGATAATCAAATCTGAGTCTCTCATGATTAATAATTCTTCAATATCTTGCTCGACTTCCATGTTCATACCCATAATGCAAGCTTCATACTCGGCAGTGTTGTTTGTACAAAAAACCCGAAGCCTGGCTGTGGCTGGATAATGTTGACCAGTGGGTGAGATCAAGATTGCCCCAATCCCAACACCTTTTGTGTTTACTGCTCCATCAAAGAACATTTTCCAAGCATTGATGTCCTCGGATATTGCCTCAACTAAATTTACCTCTTCATCAGGGAAGTAGGTGTTCAAAGGTTGGTATTCATCATCAACTGGGTTTTCAACCAAGTGATCTGCTAATGCCTGGGCTTTCATTGTCGTGCGAGTGACGTAGACTATGTCAAATTCAGTGAGCAAGATCTTCCACTTTGCCAACCTCCCAGTGGGCATTGGTTTCTGGAATATGTACTTTAAAGGGTCCAACCTAGTAATGAGGTAGGTGGTGTAGGCTATCAGGTAATGCCTCAGCTTCTGAGCAACCCAAGTTAAAGCGCAGCAAGTTCTTTCCAACAAGGTATATTTGGCCTCGTAGCTTGTGAACTTTTTTCTCAAATAGTAGATTTCATATTCCCTCCTCCCGATCATGTCATGTTGTCCGAGGACGCATCCAAAAGAATTCTCCAAGACTGTCAGATATAAGAAAAAAGGCCTTCCTGGTTCAGGCGGGACCAATACTGGCGGGTTCGACAAGTATTCTTTGATTTTGTTAAAAGCTTCTTCGCACTCACCTGTCCATTTAATTGCTGCGTCTTTCTTTAACAGCTTGAAAATGGGTTCACATGTGGATGTCAACTGGGTAATAAATTGGCTGATGTAGTTCAATCTTCCGAGCAAACTCATAACATCTTTCTTGGTTATTGGAGGAGGAAAATCTCGAATGGAATTTATCTTGGTTGGTTCTAACTCGATACCCCTCCGACTGACTATGAATCCCAAAAGTTTTCTAGATGGAACCCCGAATGCACATTTGGCTGGATTCTGCTTCAGATCATATTTACGCAGCCGCTCAAAGAATTTTCTCAAATCCCGCACATGGTCATCTTGAGTTTTGGACTTGATGATCACGTCGTCCACATACACCTCTATATCTTAGTGCATCATATCATGGAAAATGTTGGTCATGGCTCTCATGTAGGTTGCCCTGGCATTCTTCAGACCAAAAGGCATGACCCTGTAGCAATAGGTTCCCCAAGGTGTTGTAAACGCTGTCTTCTCTGCATCTTCCTCGTCTATTAGGACTTGATGATACCCAGCGTAACAATCCACAAAAGACTGTATCTCATGTTTGGCACAGTTGTCAATGAGGATGTGGATATTTGGCAAGGGGAAATTATCCTTAGGACTTTCTTTGTTCAGGTCCCTGTAATCCACACACACTCAGGTTTTCCCGTCTTTCTTCGGAACCGAAACTATATTGGCTGACCAAGTGGTGTATCAAACCACTTGGATCACTCCCGCTTTCAACTGTTTTGTGACCTCTTCTTTGATATTGTCACTGATATCAGTTTTAAACTTTCTCTGCTTTTGCTGAACAGGGGGATAATCAGGGTAAGTTGGCAACTTGTGAACTACTAAATCAACACTGAATCCTGGCATGTCGTCATATGACCAAGCAAACACATCTTTGAACTCAAACAAAAGTTGGACCAAAGCATCCCTGGTTCTTTCATTTGCGTGAATGCTTATCATGGTCTCTTGGATCTCTTCTGAATTACCCAAATTTACCGGCTCAGTATCATTTAAGTTTGGCTTAGGTTTATTCTCAAATTGCTCAAATTCTCGATTTATTTTCCTAAAAGCCTCTTCTTCATCATAGTCTGGTTCTTGGTTCATATTTCACAGTTAGATAGCGCGTTTGGATTTGGGCATGAAGTCCGCAAGCATGTCATGTTATTTAAAGCCGCATTATTAGAACTGAAAAAAGAAAAAAAATAACAAAATTAGAAGGAATAAATAAAGATGAACGATGAAATATTGATTTCATTTCATTGAATTTGAAGATAACAACGTTTACAATGGAAATTAAAAGACAGAAAACTAAAGAAAACATCCGAGCTACACCCTGAATAACTCGTGATGCAGAAAAAGTGGCAAAACAGGTCTACCGGGACTCCCATCTGATTGGGAATGGCGTAGCCTTCCAATTCTGCAGTTTGGCATTAGGTCCCATATACATCACCTCAGTGGTGCTTGAGTTTTCCCTTGGTTGAACCATGTGGGCTTCATACAGTATCTTCCTCATTGCCCCACAGATCTCTCCAATCTCTTCGGTCGTAAAGGCCTCATCTTCCTCTTCTTTGTTATATTTCGGCTTGACAAATGTTCTGTACAGATGCGGCATCGGCTGAGGCAAGACCTAACTATCATTTGCCCATCTTACATCAGCTGGAGTGGGTCGGAAGCCTACCCCGAAGAACTTCTCACTGACCGGTAGGGTGATAAGTTCAGCTATTCCTTGCAATGATTTCCCGAGCCCCTTCCCTAGTTTGAAGCCATGCCGGATCATTTGTTTGGCCACCATGATTGATGCATTAGAAAGGAAGGGTTGGGGGCAAGGGTCTCCTTCTTCGTACTGGTCTACGACCACAATTTCGAAGGCTTGATAGACTATGTGATCACTCCCCTCTCTTGCTTCAAGACATGGGACTGAGGGGTCCCGCTAAATTAATTGTTCATCTTCCCCGTGGACCACAATCTCTTGATCCTCATGCTCGAACTTCACCATCTGGTGAAGAGTAGACGGTACAGCCCCATCTGCATGAATCCATGGCCTCCCCAAAAGAAAATTGTAAGATGTGTCCATGTCCAAAACCTGGAAGGTTATTTCAAAGTCTACTGGGCTAATGGTCAGAGTTAGATCGATCTCTCCAATTGTGTCCCTTTTGATACCATCGAAGGCACGTACATAGACATTGTTGGGTCGGATTCGTTCGGTGCCGATCTCCATACGCTGCAGAGTTGAGAGTGGGCAAATGTCCACCTTAGAGCCTCCGTCCAACATAAACCTTTTCACGTAGTACCCTTTACATTTGACTGTCAGGTGCAGGGCTTTGTTATGTGCGGCCCCTTCTGGAGGCAAGTCATTGTTGTTGAAGGAGATCTGGTTGATTACGAAAAATCTTTCTGCCATTCTCTCCAACTGCTCTACAGAAGTCTCAACAGGCACATATGCTTCGTTAAGGGTCTTGATCAATAACTTTTGGTGTTAGGTGGAGTTCATCAATAGAGATAACAAGGATACTTGTGCGGGAGATTTTCGAAGCTGGTCGATCACCTCATAATCTGCCACTTTCATTTTTTGAAAGAAGGCCTCCGCTTCTTTAGCACTCACGGGCTTCTTAGATGGGAAACACTTTCTAGTGGCATTGTTCACCTCTTCCAAATTGAAATACTTTTTAACTGGGTTATTTTCTTGAACTTCCCCTGAGATTTCTTTACCCTTATTGGTCACCACCGATTTGTTGTAATTCCAGAGTACAATGGTAGGATCTGTCATGGGCTTCTGTGGTGCGCGACCAATAACCATGGGCTCACTCAGCCTTGGTGGATTAATTGGTCCCCGCATCACATAAGCTCCCTTGGGCACATATATTTGGGCTGTATTGTTCAACTCGAATCTCCTGGGAGGACTCAAAGTCATCTGCTTTTCTATGCGGCCTCGAGGGACATAGAGAACAACATATTTGGGAGGCGTTGCCCCAGTTTCCACTTCAATTTTCCTATCCGATTTTGGAGGGGTGGCTTTGTTCTTTTTCTCCCCTTTGTCTTGCTTCGGGGCAGCTTTTGGTTTCTTTTCTACATCAGTGATGGCAATGATGGCCTTCAACGCTGGTTCAAATTCCTTATCCTCACAAATTATATCGATTACCAGCTCGTTGTTGTGGGCCGGTAGTGGGTTGTTAGTCATATTGGGAATATCTTCATCCCTTAGAACTATCTTCCTTTACTCTATCAAGTTCTCCACGGCTCTCTTCAGAGTCCAGCAATCATTCGTGTCGTGCCCTTCTGCACCTGAGTGATAGGCGCATCGGGTACCAGCTCTGTAAGTGGGTGATGCTGGGTTTTGCCTGGTTTGAGGAACAGGTTGTAGCAGACCCAATTTGAACAAGCTTTGAGAATAGGTTGGAGTACGATTCGCCGATTGGTGTAAAATTTAACCTCTTGGGTGGTTCACTAGGGTGGAAATTATTTTGTGGAGGTCGGGGGTTGTAGTGGGTTTGGTAAGGAGGTTGGTTTCTAGGCAATGGAGCTTGGTTCCGGTTGGCTTGTTGTTGTGGACGGACATAAGGCTGAGAATTCATGACCGTGTAGGGCTGAGGAGCATAGACCGTGTCTTGGGGGGTAATAGTGTTGTGGGATCCTTTCTGAGAAAAGGGATCTAGGAGTACGGTGTTTCCTTGCACCTGACGCTGCCATGGATGTTTCTTCCTTTTTCTTTCCCTTCGCTACTCCTCCAGACCCACCCTGAATGGCTTAGGAGGTAGCTCTAATAGCGGATTGGCTTAGAATTCTACCCGTTTTCAAACCATTTTGCCAATCTTGATGGCTTCAGCGAATGGTTTACCCATTGCGGACATCATATTTTGGAAGTAGTCAACTTCCTGGGCTTGGAGGAAAACCGTGACCATTTCAATCTCGTCCATCGGAGGCTTTACCCTGGAGGCCTGCTCATGCCATTTAACATCGTACTCTCGGAAGCTTTTCGAGGATTTATTCTTCAAGTTTGTCAATGAGTTCCTATCTAGAGCAATATCAATGTTGTACTGGAACTGCCTGACGAAATCTCTAGCAAGATCATCCCAGATATGCCAGCGGGATACCTCTTGGTCCATGTACCACTCAGATGCGATGCCAACTAGACTTTCTCCGAAATAGGCCATGAGGAGTTCTTCCTTTCCACCGGCTCCTCGCATCTGGTTGCAATATCTCTTGAGATGAGCAATAGGATCACCATGCCCATCATACTTCTCAAATTTTGGGGTCTTGAATCCCAATGGTAAATGCATATGAGGGAACATACATAAGTC